AATTTTTATTCGAATGTAGTGATATTTCGAATTTATTATAAAATCATAGACTCTGTATGTTATCAAAATTCTGCATTTTGGAGACTCTATATTTTCAAGACGCTACATTTACAAGAATCTAGAATCCACATTTGCACTGAAGAATCTAGATTTTGAATTTCAAGTCATTGGTAAATAGAAAAGAAAAAAGAAAAAACACGTTAAAGATTTTTAAGACTATTATGCATAACAACTTGATTCGAGGGATGTTTTAAATAATTGCATCAATTACATTAGAGTTATAATGTCGAATAGACGTAATATTTAAACGATGGTGTGGATGCCGCATTATTTAGCTGAAGTCTGCTGGCGAACTTTGATTTATACTTACTTATTCATAACCTAGCTTAATAGTGACATTAATAATTTCGGTTACCTGTGTCAGGAGCCCCCACTCAAGTTGTCCACATTTGTTTTTGTAAAGTTGTCGGCCGCTTTTTTGTTATTATTTTTATGTATTCCGAATTTTGTTGATTAAATTAAAGTCTAAATTCCGAAGGCAATCGATTCAATTACTTCACAACAAGTGATAAAACTAAGTGTTTATAGCTACAGATGTTTTTCACCGTTTAGCGCGCCCTAATTAACACTGATGTAGCGCGTGCAAGTGTGCCAAACAAGCCGCCTTATCACAAATTCACTGTTTATATACGAATCGTTCTTGACCAATTTAGCCGCTGTCTGTTTATAAGTCCCGCATAAGAGGATCCACAACATATGATGCATATTTAAACAAGAATTCACCCAAAAACCAATCACATATTGCATAAAAAATGATATGGAAATACCCAAACGCAGGCTATAGCACTGGAAATTTTTTTCAAAACCTTTACTATAGAAATAGTATGCATATGAACCTTAGCTTAAAATAGTAGGGAAATCCAACTGTCTTCTGATTGCAATTTCCACGTTATGGATACAATATGGAAATAGTATGGATATACATAGTATGAATATATACTACGGGTTTAGTGTTGAAATCGAAAATTCCATAGTATGAATTTCGCTACAGTAGCCAAGTTATCCGGCAAGGCAAGTAGGAAAATCCTCTGGCATTAGACAGAGTAAACAATAGAGTAGGATGCAATTCAGTTATTCAGCTATCTATACACTGAAAATATCAGATTAAATGCTGTCATTCTCCTGAAATAGTGTAATTCCAATCCTTATTCAAGTATTAAAATGCTAACAGATCTTCAAAAACATCCGTATGTATATCTTATTTCATATTTAACAATTAGTCGCCGAAGGCGAGGTGATTACAAGCCTATATTCACTGAGCCGAAGGCGAAATGAATATAGGCTTGTAATCACCGAGCCTGAGGCGACTAATTGTTTTAGTATAAATTTCCAGGTGTTTACAAACAACAATCCACACAACTTTATAAAAATTCACTTCAAATAAATTTATTTTCACTATAAATAGTTTGTTTACAAAATTTAAATCCCAGACATGGCTCTGTGTCGCGTTGCGACTAAGCTAGTTTTTTTCCAAATAAAAGCACGTAAAGTTTAATATTTTACCTTGAAATATTTTTAAACCATATTTTGTAGCTTGTTTGTTTTTTTCAGAATGCTATCTTCTTTAATTTTGGCAATTTTCTCCTCTGTTACTACGGCAAAACGAGCAGCCATTTTGAAAAAAAAGCTATAGTCACTGACCAGTGACTATCACTTCAGAGACAGTGAATCTTGACCAATCAGAATGCAGAAAAATCAGTAGTCACCTGGAAATTTATACTAACACTATATAGCCTTGAGTCTTGACAGAGGTCTAGCAAAGTGCCAATGTCAAAGGCAATTTAATATTGTCAAATTGTTAATATTAGTGCGTAAATTGGTATGGAATTCACAACAATAGATTTGAATTTATATTTTAATCTTCTGTCCCTTGCCTGAATGCAACATTTGCATGTTTTATATGCAAAACGAACGCGGCAAATTAAAACATTCAATGGAATATTTTCACACTTCGCTCAAGTAAACAGTCATAATCACTACATTATTTCGCAATGAATATGTTTAAATAACAAGTCAAATATACAATTATTCTTACCTGTGGTATCTGAACAACATTTTAAGGACTTTCTGATGCTTTTCACATCGTTATTTGCCATTTAAATTGCCATGAATGTGCTGTGAATTCCATAATTATTATAAAAATTTTCACAAAAATGTAAAACGACGCTATCCCGTGATGCTCCGCGTTCTAAAAGGTAAACTAGGTACCAGGCGTTTAGTGAATACGCGAACTATGGCGAACTATTCCTGCTTGGATCATCTATGCTTGGATAAAGCTTGGATTCAGCGATTCAATAAAACTGAAACCAGCTCAAATTTTGGAAACGAAATAAAAACAAAGTGACTATATTACCGGCAGCCGGTCTAACTCTCAAAAGGTTAGGGTTAGGGGTTAGGGTTAGAGAAGGGTTTGGGATTGGGGATCGACTTTAATTATATAGTCAATGTACTGCCGGCCATTTAGTGTTTGATCATATAGTCTCTTCAATTCGAAATAAAAACTACAAATTTACCTGACGAAATAAGATATAGCTACGTTATTCTAAGTCTTGTTAAGATATAAGTTGTCCTATAACACTAGCATTTTACATTTTCTTGCTTCGAAAATTTAAGTAATGTCTTACTATTTTATAATTTTGTATTTTAAGAATTTCATTTCTTGTCTTACGAACATATTCTTAAAGTAAGAAAATCGTATTTTCTTAAGAAAATGCTTTCGCGATAACTAAGAAATTATAAGAAAAATTTTCTTATTTTAAGAAAATGTTTTCGTATCAAGAAAATGTTTTCTTATTTTAAGAAAAAGATATATTGGGATTCAAAAATTTCTTATTTCAAGAAAATTTTTTCTTACTAAGAAAATTATTTTCTTTGATTTTAAGATTTTTTTCTTAAATTAAGAAATTTTTTTCTTAATAAGAAAATGAGTTTTTGCTGTGTACAATATGGAAATAGTATGTATATACATAGTACAAATATATACCACGGGTTTAGTGTTGAAATCGAAAATTCCATAGTATGAATTTCGCTGTTTTTCTCCTGCAAAGCTTATTGAATCTGTAACCGTTATAATTAATTGACAAGCATAGCAGAACTGTGCGCTGAACACGAGCTATGACCGATGGATTCTAGCTGTTAACTGACTGGCAGAGCAGGTTATAGTACTGTGCATGCGCTGAGCAGACATGCAGCTGTTCGTCGCATATTCCCTTTAAATGAAAATGATTTTAATTTTTAAGTCGAGAGTTAAAGCTCCGACCCTTTAAATAGTGTAAATAATTATAGTGTTTATAGTGTATAGATTTCGCTTAATTTGTGAATATATGAAAACAGTACTTTGTGTAAAACAGCATTTGCTGAGGGATAAATTTTGCGCTAAAATAAAGTAAATAAAATAATTTCACTTCCGTTGGGAGCCGGCATTCAAATCTTACAATCGTTTTTGTAAAGTTCTCGGTCGCCATGTTTGTTATAGTATATTATTATGTATTCGAATTTTGCTGATCAAAGTCTAATTATTTCTACGCGCAAATCCATTCAATTATTTCAGAACAAGGGATGAAGCTAACTGTTTAGCTCGATGTTTTTAACCGTTATAGCGCGCGCCAATTAACACTGATGTAGCGCAAATATCTTAATTTAATAAAGAGCCGCCTTATCACTGTTTATAACGAGTCGTTTGTGACCAATATAGCAACTGCCTGTTTATAGGTGACAACATATTTTGGCTCTCATAAAAGGACCCATATAACATATGAATGATATGATGCATATATTTTCAAAAATTTTTACCCCAAATCCGATCAATTTGCATAAAAATTGGTAATTTAATGCCCAAGCAAATGCAGACTGTATAGCTAGGCGCAAATTGATTAGCAGGGCAGATTATAGCACTGTTCGCTGGAAACAGGCTAATGCAGTTCGCCAGTGCAAAACTCGGAATGATGGTTTTATTTCTTTTTTGTGCGTTAATTTTTGTATTGCAAAAAGCAAACTAAGCGAATGCTCGATTACGCTTGCAAGCCATCTTTCGCAAATATTTAATTAGCGAATCAAGTCATTGGAACAAATCAAGCAAAAAGCGAGATAGAATGTGTATAAATTGCGTTGGAGATGGATCATGTGCATCAGTAAATTACAAAGCTTCTAGAATCGGTAAAGGTTTATATATGTGACCTAAAGACTAAGACATGCAACTGTTTAAAATCATGTAAAGGGGAATAATGAGTATTCATTATTTGACAAGTTTACATTTGAGGCACCGAAGAATATTCGTGGCATCGATTTTCAAACATCCGCTGGCGTCATGCAACTGTTTCCTAACCATTTTCCAAACTATCCATGCCTTTCATATATAACTGCTGATGTTAAGGCCTGTTTTATTTGTCGAATTTCGGTCGCGTCGAATGAAATTCAAACAATAGATAATGAAGCTTGATAAGCTTTATCATCTCATTATCAATGTCTTAATTGCATTCGACACGACCAAAATTCGACGTATATAAAACGGGCCTCCAAAGGCAAGCTTGTATCATTAGTCTCACCATGGCTGTGTTATTAAGCATTTGTGCGTTAATTTTCGTCTCGCAAATAGCACAACCCGGCGATTGCTCGATTGAGCAAGCTATCATTCGCAAAAAGAAGCACGCTTACTTAGCGAATCATGTCATCAAAACAAAACAGGCAGAAACCGAATCAGAATGTGGCAGGCATTGCGTTCGAGTTGGATCATGCATGTCAGCAATCTCGTTCCCCGAGCCTGCGATCCTCGGGAAGGAACCGAAGGCTCTGGGATAATCCGTTTCAGGGAGGAATCTGATTGGCCATTGATATGGAATGCGTAGTTCAATCTTAGCCATGATTCTTGGCTTCCGGTAACGGATTATCCCAGAGCCTTCGATTCCTTCCCGAGGATCGCAGGCTTGGGGAACGAGATTGGCATGTCAGTAAATTATAAAACGTCTGGAATCGGTAAAGGTTTATGTGAGCTCAACAGTGAAACATTGCAAGAGACATCTGATGCAGGTGGAATTCTGCATAACCCTGAGTTCAACCACCTTTATATAGTCAAAAAGGTATGAAAAATACGAGCTTTATTCGATACTGATGTAATTACTGATAAAAGGAATAGCATGCATGTGTGTTATAAATGTTAATGGTTATGGTTATAGTGAACGTGTTTTTCATCTACTTATATAAACCAGACATTGATATGAATCATATATCGGGCATTGTCACTCCGTCTCAAACCAGTGGGGTTTTATTTACGGAAATTTTGGTTATCCATGCCGAGATATGTTTAGGTGATCATGAAAACCTCTTAATATTTAAACTATAACTATAGAGCTGCATGGAGCTGAGGAGAAAACAGAATCCATGAGAGAATTGAGAGTTGTGCATGGCGTCATTTTTAGTCTACGTTTCGGAGCACGTATATATAGCGATCGATAATGGAAAAAGTTTTTCAGTCAAGAATCCCATGACCATTAATTCAGAGGGAACTCGAATTTAATCATTTTTGGAACATTAATAAATATAGCTACTCAGGTAAGCAAGGGTGATATATATCCACGTACTTGTAGCTAATCTAATTTTTCCCACACGCTAATTTTATTAATGAAAGACAACGAACTGGATGCCACATGTTTAATTAACTCGCGTTTTAAAAATTAAACTAAACACTGTTGATATGTCGATCGTATATATATATATATATATATATATGTAAATATATATATTTAAATATTTAAATATATATATATATATATATATATATATATATATATATATATATATATATATATATATATATATATATATATATATATATATATATACAGGGTGTATCAAAACAAGTAAGACAATTTTGAAATTGCTCTCAATTCCACAATTCTGTTCATGAAATGTAATTTTTTGTATGTTTGGATTGCTTGAGTTCTTAAATTATGGAAAATATAAAAAAATTTGAAAATAGTAAATTTTGCTATCCAGGTGGGTGGTCAACTTTTGCTCTTATAAAAGTGGCTTGCGCACGGAAATGACAAACGGTATTCTTCATTTGAGTTCATGTATGAAAAGTTCCCTATTTGTTGCATTTATGGTAAAATTTCGGAAAAATTTTACCGAGTACAAATCCTACGAAAAGCCTATGAAAACGTTGCATTTTTTTCTGTTGGTGCTGTTCTTGCTTCTTTATGAATTCATTTTTACTCCCATGAGAGTTCCGTGGAATTTCCATGGAATTTGTGCTTTCGAGTTGTTTGTGCTGAAACGCATTCTCTCGTATAATACCCCGTCTCCTCTGAGATAAACCGTTGCACCTCCTCTAAAGCTTTTCCACAGCTGCACCATTTCCATCATAATCCGGGAACGATAGAGTCCATGCATCAATGAGAGCTTACTCGGATGGGGGAACCTTATAGAATTTACGGTAAATATTTTTAAAGTTCGAAAAATCCTCCATTTTAGAAACCCTTGCCACCAGCCTCCTTACCACCCATCTCCTGCAAAGATATTCTGACAAAATCAGCAGGGGCTACAAGTGGACTTTATGATATATCTGTTGACAACAAAATGGTGACAGTGTTCTGTGAAATGGTTCTTTATGGTGGAGGCTTCACCTTTATCCCCAAGTCGGCTGTCAAGAAAGGAACCCTACCCAAACTTGTATCGCAACTTTTCACAAACCATTCTGAAGTTCTTCTGTACATTCAAAAGAAAGATGGAAGTCAGACCTACACCCACATCCGACAACTGGAAGAGAAATCGCAAACGCCTTTAGTAGTCTTGCAGAATACACACACAGGTTAGTTTGTGTAAATATGATTATGAAAGCTACATTGCTAATGATGTTAGTTGGTGCTGACAAGCGATTTGGAATTAAAAATAGGTTGCTATAGGGGTGTGGAAAAAGGGTAGTGCTTCGTGATGGCCGTTATAGTGGCAGTATACGTTTGTAAGTGTCCCTAAGTAATAACAAACACTTTACTTGCGCAAAGAAAATTATATGTTCCCTGTAGTTTACCTTGTGTCCATTTTAATGGTATAACGGTGATGGTGGTTGTGATGGTAGTGGCAGTAAAAGTTTGTAAGATCAGTGTTGATAATTAAAATAATAACAAACACTTTAATTGGGTAACACAAATTACCGGTGTCCCAGTAGTTTACATTGGACCCATTTTTATGTTATAAGGATTGTGGTGGTGATGGTTGAAAATTACCATGGAATTAGTGTTATGATGGTAATTATAGTAGGAGATCGCTGCGAACTATTTCGACTATCAGGAATGATTCAACGTAAGAGATTTGAAAGAATATTGACATCGCTAGATTGTGTTCAGTTATTATAATAATTGTCAAAGTAAATATTGTTATAGAAATAAATATAATAAGAATTCAGTAATGAGAGTGATAATTAGGTGGTGAACTATTAATTTGTAGTTGGTGACGATAAAACAAGCGAGTGAATGGATAAAGGGTGATGATGATACCACGGATATTTAAAAATGAATAGGAAACTGTTCATGTTAGCAGATGCACAGAATAATACACAGAAATCCATTTTTGTAGTTTTTGCGTAAGCATTAATCGTCATGATTCGTCACTCATCAAGTACCGTAAACAGACGCAGTCACCCTCCTGGACGTGCGCCATTTTGAGTATTTTTGGGGGGGCTGCTTCTGTTTATGGTACTTGAAGAGTGACGAATCATGACGAATAGAGCTTACGCAAAAAACAATGGTGATAGGTTTCTGTGTATAGTATTCTGTGGCAGATGCAGAAGCGCCGTAACCACGGGGGCAGCGGGAGCAACTGCCCCTGTTGCCCAAGCAGTGTGGGGGCAGCACGGGGGCAATAAGTTGCCCTTTTTACCGGAACTGCAGTTTGAAATTTGTGCGTTATTCACAGCAATGGGAATTTATAACTATTTCTAAGCAATTAATGTTTAAGCAATCTTTGCTTAATTTTTAACCAGTTGTAGTTAAATTAATACTAAATCAGACAATAATTATACATCCGTTTGTTAATTATATTTTCCGCCCTTAGCATGGTACAAGGAATAAAGTTGTTCAAAATTAATGTCGAAGTTTGCCAACCCATAATAGCCACAAGTAATCGTGTATCCATGCAACAGTAAATTTTTAACAAATATTGCTGCCCAGAAAAAAAGAAAGATTCAGAAGCAAGTGCCCTTTTAAAATGGTTTCCCCCGCCGCTTCAAATTGCTTCCGGCGCCCCTGGGCAGATGTGACCTGTTTGAAATTCGTGATGTCACGAATATAACCAATACAGTAAAGACAGAAGTTTACGGCATGTAGTAAAACACTGACTACCGAAACACCGGAACACCACCGGAACACCACCATTTTGTTTGGGGTTAGGGTTGGGGGTTAGGGTTAGGGTTGGGGGTTAGGGTTGGGGGTTAGGGTTGGGGTTAGGGTTGGGGTTAGGGTTAGGTGGTGTTCCGGTGTTCCGGTGGTGTTCCGGTGGTGTTCCGGTGGTGTTCCGGTGGTGTTCCAGTGTTCCGGTAGTCAGTGTTTTACTACATCACAGAATACTACACAGAAGTCCATCTCCATTGTTTTTAGCGTAAGCTCTATTCGTCATGATTCGTCACTCAGCAAGTACCGTAAACAGAAGCAGTCACCCCCCTGGACATACGCCATTTTTAGTATTTCCTGGTGTGGGAATGCTTCTGTTTACGGTACTTGCTGAGTGACGAATCATGACGAATAGAGCTTACGCAAAAAACAATGGAGATGGACTTCTGTGTAGTATTCTGTGACTACATGCCGAAGTTTACTGCGTTTTTCTCCCATTTACCTATATTTTTCGCATTCAAGTATCTATATTGAGGTTAGAAATACATGCATGCAAAAAACCCTGGCCAATATTTTCCAAACATTGTTTCAACATGAAGTATTACGCCGACACTGAACGCAGGCTCGCGTTGCTCACGCCATGTAATCATGTTAGCCATAGCAACACGTTAATTGTTTTCTTTTATTTTTTTGTACCAAACTGCAAAAAATAAATGAAACTTGAACACTTTTAAATACAGACCTATCAATTTCTAAAATATATAAAGTAGGTATATTATTTTGCTTTCTATATGGGCTTTATTTTAATGTAAAATTCAACACGAAACTCTTCGTAAAACGTTTTTAAATGTGAATTGAAATTTACTGCTTTTTGCCGATAAACTCTTCAACTCGAGCTTTAGCCTGCGTAGTAGGCGTTTAGTGCGGGCGGTAGAAGAAAGAGCGCCGTCATGCAGCTAAACGCCTGCTACGCAGGCTACTCGAGCTTCAACTTATTACTCGCACTTTGAAATGAAATATATATTTAATTCATACAGGACGCTAATGAAAATAATTTGCTTTCCATTTTATCATGAACTTCTACAAACGTTAATTTAACTAATAAACTTTCGCATACAATGTATAGCAAGACTTTATTAAACAACAAAACAAAGTCTATAATATTAGATGCAAAGTCATACATAAACAATTGAAACAAACTTGCCTTATACTTTAGGATTTCTTATACTAAATTAATTCTTAATGTTTACGTTTAAAAATTGTAAAAAGATTTTACAATTTGTTATGTAAAACGATTTCCGAAGCTTCCTTACATGTTTTTTTTAATATTTTTGCCTCCTTCACTCCTGGCGAACAGCCGTATTTTGAGATCATTGAGATGACCACCCATACACCATGCGCCCGCGATATTTGATGAACTTTAGACTTCGCTAGTGTGTTCCTTTCCCCGGGTGTAAATAGCCGGGAGGAATTAGTGCCTTCGTCCCGGGCTTACGCCCGGAACGGCGCTCCGCGCCGTTGGCTCGGGGATTAAAAATAGTTTCCCTGTCTTTTACACCTGCCGGCCTGTGCCATGGTAAAGTATTCGAGGTAAATGTCGCTCGTCTTTCTTTTAGTTATGTTTTCACAAAAACCGCTGTTGATATAATTGAAATTTGTGCCGCGTCTAATGCTTGAAATGTTCCTGGAAATGTTCAACAATATTTAGATATGTGAAAACCGTTGAATTATTGCGTCTTTTTCGCTAAAATGTTCAGCAGTACTGTAATATAGTACTCCTTCGATGCATAAACACATGTGTCGCCTCTATCTTTACAAGTGCGCATGCTCCTAAAGCATGATGTAACTATTACGTCATTACATCCTTTGAAACCTTTAGTTTTTTTGCATTCACTATAACTGTTTGTGATTAACTAATATCAACCTGAAAGTTCCTATAATGTCTTATTTTAAAGTTCATTTACGATGACTTCTTAGACAATTAAAGTTCATTATAAATGTTTTACTTATCTGACTGTTTATAGCCAAAGTAGGCTGGTGGTTTTGTTTTCCTTTTCGGGCGTTCATTGGTGTTCTGCTTGCTCGGCTGTTCTTCTTTATCTCCTGGGTTATCTGTTTCACCTTTCTTTTCTTTAAACTTTTTAAAATGTGATGAGTTCCGAGTGACTTGGCGATTGTCATTTGACGCTGTAATCATCGATCCTTTTCTCTTAAAAATTTGGTATTTCTGATGTTCATAAGAGGTCTGCAATTTACCTTTCTTTGAGTTTCTCAGTAGAACTGCATCACCGACTTTGAATTCAGAAGATTTGGCTTTGTTTCGTTTGTCAAAGTGGACCTTGTCCTTTTGTCTTGACTTACATGATGCATCAAGTGCTTGTTGATGGTTTGGGTCAGCTGGTGCTACAGTTTGTGACTGGGGTAACTTGACATTCATGGCACGATTGGATAGTAAGGTTGCAGGAGCTTGGTGGGTTACACTATGGGGCGTAGCTCGGTAGTTTCTGAGGAAGGTAAACAAGTTTTGTTTCCAAGACCTGCCTTCAACTTTGGCAGTTCTAGCTGTTTTCTTTAACGTTCTCATAAATCGTTCGGCTTCTCCGTTTTCCTGAGGCCAATAGGGCGTTATACGCTGATGTTGGAAACCAAGATAATTAGCAAACTGTTTGAATTCTGTACTATTAAATGGGGCGCCATTGTCCGATTTAACCGTTCTGGGAATTCCGTGAGTAGCAAAGATTTTGTCAAGACAGGGAATAACAGTTGTATGGGCTACTGTTCTAATAATGTCTACTTCGGGATATTGTGAGTAGTCATCAATCAATACAAGTAAGTACTCACCACTGGGAAACGGGCCGCAAAAATGAATTGATACACTTTCCCATGGATTCTTGCCAGCTTCAGGCATACGTAATGGTTCAATGTTGCTTGTGTTTGTTGTGACTTGGCAAGCTAAGCAGCAGCTAATTTTCTTCCACTTGTTTATCAATGGTCGGAAGCCAGACCTTCTCACGCAAGAGTTGTTTTGTCCGTGATATGCCTTGATGGCCTTCGTGTGCGAGGTCTATCACATGGTTTTGAAGTTTTCTTGGTATGACTATATGGGTACCACGTACGAGGAGACTTTGATCACTGTTAACTGACAGTTCTCTTTGGATGTGAAAAAAACATTCTACCGACTTGCGATCAACACCAGGTTGGAGTTTCGCATTATGCCACTGTTTGGTTTGAACTGCTTGAATGACAGCTTAAAGTGTGGTATCGGATTTTGTGGCTTCTTTGATTTCTTGCAGTGTAAGGGCCTTGGGAACAGCATGCATTGAAACGAAATTAACATATTCTTCAGCGCATCTCTCCTCACGGCTGGTAGGTGATGATGGCAACGGATGGCGAAAAATAAAGTCGGCTGGATTGTCAGAACCGGGTTGATACTGAACATTGAAACGATATGGTTGTACCTTTAATAACCATCGTTCAATACGAGCAGGTGGTTTGCTTTGTGGGTCGTTGAAAAGACGTTCCAGTGGCTTGTGATCAGTAATAACAGAGAGTTGGGTACCATATAAATATAGATGAAATTTATGACATGACCAGACAATAGCCAGAGCTTCTCGCTCAATTTGTGAATAGCGAGTCTCTACAGGAGTTAATACCCGACTGGCATAACTGACAAATACGTGGCGAAGCACTGTGATTTCTAGTGGTAGTATATTGGACAAGTATAGCACCAAGACCAACTGGACTTGCATCTAAAAGAACTTCAATTTTGTGCGAGGGATTTGATACTGTCCATAGCATGTTTTTAGTACTGGTCCATTTCCACTTGACATGCTGTTTTGTCAGGTCTCGTAATGGTTTAGCTAGTGTCGCAAGGTTTGGGATGAATCGGGCACAAAAGTTGGCCATACCTAGAAAACTTCGGACTTCGTTTGGATTGGATGGAGGTTGGGAGTTGCGTATAGCTTCCACTTTGCGAGGGTCAGGTGAAATGCTCTGCGATGAGAATACATATCCAAAATATTCAATGCTGGTTTTGTTGAATTCACACTTCAGCTTATTTAATGTTAGGTTACGAGACTGAAGACGTTCCAACACTGATTTAAGGTTCTTGTCATGTTCTTCTTGGCTGGATCCATAGACTAAGATGTCATCACTGATGTAATACAGCCGTTGAGACCTTCAAGTGTTTCTCGAATAGTATTTTGGAAAATTTCAGCTGCAGAGGTTACTCCGAAATTAAGGCGCTGATATCTCCTCAGGCCGACATGGGTGCTAAACGTGGTAACGTAGCGTGATTCTTCTGAGAGTTCAAGTTGGTGATAACCTTGATTGAGGTCAAGCTTTGGAAATACTTTAGCGTCATTTAGATATGCTATGACGTCATCTATGGTGGGGGTTATGTGACGTTCTCGCTGGATTGCCTTGTTGACAGCTCGCATATCCACACATCTAACATCGTTTGGACTTTTGGGTTTCGACACAACAACGATTGGGGAAACTCAGGGCGTTGGACCTTCTGTTTTCTCAATGATGTCATCCTTTTCCATTTCTTCAAGCTTTTTCTCCACCTGTTTCCGTAGATGGAATGGTATCCGCCGATGGGTTTGAGCAACTGGCGGAATTGATTCGTCAATATGTAGCTTCACCTTATGATCTTTTAATTTTCCAACGCCATTGAATAATTCCTCAGGTATTGCAACATTGCAGGATACAGTTGTGTTCTTAGCAGTGTCCACAGCGTTAGTAATTGCAATCAAACCAAGATGCTTTGCAGTATTGTAGGATAACAAAGAACCTCCAAGGCGACCGTTGTTGCTAACGACAAAAAACTCGGCAGCATCAATTCGTTTACGCGATTCTACGTATACAGTAGCAGTAAGCTTTCCAAGGACACGGAGGAGTTTGTCGGACTTGTAGGGGTAGATGTTGATAGAACTGTGTTGCAATTTTATTTCCGGTTTGAGGGCTTCAAAATCCTTTTCTTCGAGTAAATTAACTGTCGCTCCAGTGTCAATAATAAATTTAACTTTGGCCAGGTCTTAAATCCGTAAGTTAACCATTGGATGTTTGGTATTTTCGTCTGCATCTTGCACCATAAACGTATATTCATCCGACTCGGGGTGTTTACTGGTAATGTCACTTGCGTTTTCTTCGTTTACATATTTAACCGTCTGACATTTGTCACTTTCATGGTGGCGATGTTGTTGTTTTTGTGGAGATGAACGGCATGTGACGGCAAAGTGATTCAACTTCCCGCAAAGTCGACACGTTTTCCCTTTTGCTGGACATACGCCAGGATGAGGATAGGGTTTGCTGCAAAAATAACATAGTTTCGTTGATTCTTGTTTTTGTCGTTGACGTTGTGAGTTGAAGTTCTTCGAAAAGTAATTTCGTGTTGGAGCAGTTTTCATCTGGTTGACTGATTCTGTGTTGTTATTTTCCATTTCCTGAGCTTGTTGGTGTGATAGTTCGTAAGCTCGGCCTTGATCTAAAAGTTGTTGGAGAGTCATTTCAGTACGAAGGGCTTTTCGTCGAAGCTGTTGGGACGTGCACGTTTGGACAACTGGTGTTTTAATTTCGCGATCCATGTCTGCAAATTTTTATTTTTATTTATTTATTTATTTATTTATTTATTTATTTAGCTTCGCCTTGACAAAAAACGTACACAATACAAGCACAACAATTCATATACACGAGTCATAAAAAGAGGCAGGGTCACCACAACAGTTTACACCAATTACTGTGGGCCCTTAAATTCACACGTGGAAGCAAGATGTCGAAGGCGAGTGTGGAAAGAATCGAGCTTTTCGTCATGGCGTTGGCTAGCTTGGCGAAATTTGTAGATTTCATACTCCGTATTCTTTTTAGGCTCGAAATAAGTTGTAAGTGATTTCACAGCTGTGTCAAAATCATCTTCAGAACCTTTCTGTTCGGCGGTAAATGTGTCAAAGATATCGTAAACTTGTGATCCAGCCAAGTGTATAAGTAAAGCACGTTTCCGTTTCTTTGCCGATATATCCATAGCGATCATAAGATTGTTAAAACGTTGCAACCATTTTTTCCAGCGAGTGGCAATAGAAGAGCTCGAAGTGTCGTTCTCATAAACTATAAATGGTTCGAAATCGGGTATGGCTTTTGCCATATTTTATTATTATTTTTGTCCTCGTCGCCAAATGTAATATAGTACTCCTTCGATGCATAAACACATGTGTCGCCTCTATCTTTACAAGTGCGCATGCTCCTAAAGCATGATGTAACTATTACGTCATTACAAGTACGGACTTATTTTAGATTTACTGAAGTCAGTGGCAAATTATCCGAAAATTCGTCAATTTTCTGTGAAGGGGGGGGGGGGGGGGCGGCCGTCCTCCCGCCCCACCAAGATTTCCGCCACTGAGTGAAGTCATAATTTTCAACAAGATTGGAACGCCATCAGCACGTTGAAAACATCATGTGCACAATAAGGAGTTTAATTCACATCCATTGTTTTTATTATCCATGATAATACCATAGTATTGATGGTAGTCGTTGTAATGCCAATAGAAGTGGTAATGGGACGATAGTAGCTTGTGATAGGGGAAACGCGAATTTTGGATTATGAATCATTGTGTATTGGTAGAAATTCCGATTCTCACAAGCTTCTACACAAAACGTTCGGCTTAGTAATCTAATTTTCTTTATTATTAGAGCCTGGCCATGATATGACTTCCAACATCCCTAAAAATTCGTTCATGGGAGACTATCTTTATCTGAGCACATCAATTTACACCAACGGATTCCTATCCAACAATATGGAAGTGAAATATAATAATCGCAATTTCCCCATCAGAAGTTACTTTGCTTTCTTTCCCAATCATCGTGAACAGACGCCGAGTACGTTTCACCCTAACCTGGTGTTCGAAACACAAGGGGTCGCGGTAGATTGGAGGAACACTGGAATGGTTTCAACAGAAAGAATACCTAGTAATTTTTTATACCTAACTGAGGTGTATTACAGCGCAGGTGGTTGTTATACATCCAGTGATCGTTGGGTCGAGGCAAATGGAACAGCAATTGGACTACGATAAAATGAACTTCCTTTTCAAGCTGTATTTATAATGTAACATTTATAGCACGCGAGCGTCGATTGGTCGAATGGCGTGTTTCTATTACTGTATGAAAACACTGGAAATTTCCCCTTTCGCAGCTTATTTTAAAGCGTAAACAAGACAATTTTATGCTTGATACAGTTTTTCAAAAATGTAAAATTTACGATTTAGATCCGTATTCGTGGACAATTCTTACTTACTGAATAACAAAGAGTGCCTTACTTATGTAAAACAACCTCTAAAAAGTTGGAATGTTTGCATAAAAGTTACGGAACTTATGTTGCCATGGCAACAATGGCGTTTCAATATGGCGGATATTTTGACTCGAAAACAACATCGGTAAACCGCAAATTTTATTTCAAGAAACAATTTCCCTTGGTAAATACAATTATCTTGAATTTGTATAGGTAATCATGCGATGGCGAGTACAATTAGGGATTAGTAGTACGAGTGATGTTTGGAAACTCCGGGTCAAGTCCAATTTGTCAAATTTCCAAACATCACGAGTACTATTAATCCCTAATTGTACGAGCAACATCGCATGATTACTTGTTTATTATTAGCATGACAAAATTGGATACTTATCAATGCCGGCAACATCATATTCTCTCGCCAAAACCCAGTCCTGCCATACTTTCAACCAAAATTTGGTGCTTTTGTTCGTATTTTCATCTAGTTCCTCTTAGGTGCAATTTCATTTCACATTTGTGTTTAAAATATTAAAACCTTTTCGCCATTTTGTTTGTGTTTGGAAAATCATTAATTGTACTGCAGTACAATTAATAAAATAATTGTACTCCTCTCAACCAATCAGCATCCAGTAATTTTGTCATGCTAATCATATCAAACTGCGTTAACAAAAAGTCATATCGTATTGCGCGTATCATATTTCCAACTTTTCCCTATACAAATCACCCCAAAATTTGATGTTTTTTCGCTTACGTTTGCTCTACGATTATATTGGTGTTCAGTTACCCTCGGTATAGGAAAGAATAAGTCTTTAGACGCCTTTTGAATGTACTTTTATTGGGAAAGAATCCTTAATTCGAATGTCACTTTTCGTTTGATTGTGGGCTGTTTGTTAGAATTTGTATAGGAAATTCGCCTCGCGCGTGGTGTCTGGTGAAGAAAACTGGCACTAGGACCTTCTGCGCAGGTCTTTGATTCCAGTTACCGCCTGATTTGAAGTCTTCGTGAAATTTGGCGCATTTTGATAGCAAATTCATGCTTATTGATGGCGATTTGGGAATGTCAAAATGAGCGCAAAGATGTGGGTTTTGCTTGTGTTTACAAGCTCATTAGTAATTCACTCGCTCGGCTGCAAGAGATGGCGAAGGGACGTCTCACACTCGATCTCGACTCTACCTTATATACCTTATGTGTCTTATATTGTACACCAGATAAGTGTTGAACAATTGTAATGATTTTACTTTTAATAAAATTAGTTATACTGCCTCATTATAACTGAAGTTTACGCTTGGGAAATGCTGCTTAGTAATATACATTATCTGATTAATACCGTATAGTTACTTGATCTACACTATGGCATCAGAATACAAACCACAAGAGGATCAAAGTTTAATACGATTCGTGCTTGGCCATTATTGTTGTCAATCGTATTCATAAAATGCGTTGTCTTTTCTAGGTTATTCAGCAGGTTTATACTCGATACACCGTGCTCGATTTATAAGTCAAACGGTTCAGTGCTCGAAGCGTGCGCGCTTAGGTCTCACTCTCTCCGTCATATAATAGTATTAACAATAATAAACTTTATTGAAATTAATGAAGGTATTACAAAACCAGTTTGGCACATCTAATCTTTAATATAATGGGCTTCAACACTGGGCCGTCTGTAATTTCACAGGACACTAGTTTGAGCAAATGTTCATTCATATAGGAGGAAAGTTTGATATGAATAATTAATAAAATTGTTAAGCCAAAAAATTTAATTATGACTAATGATTTATGCAATTTGAAAATTTTTTGGCAGGACAGATTTTTTTAAATTGCCAAAAAAGTTGAGGAAATCATTTTATGAAATAAAAGTTGGCGGTCGATTATCGATGTCGTTAGCGAGTTAAATTATTTTAAAGGCAAAAACCCCGCCATATTGAAACGTCATTGTTGCCTTAGAAACGGCAGTTGCGTAACTAGTGTTGTTTTACATAAATAAAATGCTTCTTCAACAAGTAATACTTGCACAAAAATGCGGATCTAAATCGCGAATTTTCATTTTTAAAACACCTTAACACTGTTTATTTCCTGTTCTCCCAAACTCCCACGCGTGTTCTTATAATTGTATAGAAACACGGAAAATGTTTTCTATTTCGTAAATAGAGAACTCTTTGAAATAACCATTACCGCGAACACCGTCAGTCAATACGGAACGTTTATACAAATCAGGCCATAGGACGCCCAGGCTCTGCTTCAAACCGCACCATTACCCAGTAAGCTTTCAATATATTTGGAGCTAGAATTTCAGTCATTCGGCCAATGAGAACCTTGTAGCCAAGATGGCGGAAATTGACGTCCAATAATTACGAAGGTCGTAAAAAGGTTTTACCATTTCCCCGGTTAATTCCAGTTTAGTCTAACGCACTGTAACTCTAATCATATTTTCAGCTCATATAATTCGACACACTCTTTATTTGAAAGAGGCCTGCCGCGGGCAAAGGCTGGATGCGGACTACAATCAGAGCCTGGGACAATATCTATGATCAGGAAAGTTGACATATTGAATTACGAATAAACATGGTTTATAGAAGACCATCGGACAGATAAAGATGAAAAAGAGACTTTATATCTGGACGAGTTTGTCATCTTATAGAAAAGTTTCCTATCTCAGACAGATGTCCGTCTTCTAATATGAATCCAGCTATTGAGAGCTAAGGAACTTGATTAATGTAATAAATTGAAGCTTTTTAAAATAAACCTACAAACGGTTAAGTCAGGAAAAACGACCAATCAGGGAGAATTTATGTAACTCCTCCAAAATCGAAACAAGCATTCACGTTGCTACAATAACGTAAAATCTTAGTTTAACATTGTGTTTAGAATGAAAACGTTGTTTGATGATACCTTGGAAAATCGCCCCTCCCTCCCGCCTCTACTAGTGTCCGCCACTCTACAACTATTACTTTTTAGTTGATAATTTGTTCACCTATGTATTTGCTTGCAGTCGTAGTAATTGGGCCGTAGTGTGGTATAATTAAGAAATATCCTTCGCTGGCGAAAATTTGTGGCATTGCTTGTCGACCCCCAGCAGTGCTACCAGATCTGTGTAGTCGATTCTGATTGGTCACGACTGAACTCAATAGATTGTGACTGGCCGGACTTAGATATCAACGAACGTTTGATTTCTTCTCTCAAAATCGAAATAATATTCTCTTGACACTCGATGTTCATTGTAAATTTTACTTCTCTCTATCCATCCATCAAAATACTAAATTTCCGGTGAAAAAACATTTTTGATATGTTGCAGAATGTAAGTTATCCAACTGAACAAATTAAATCAACAAGAAGTTGAAAATAACGGCAATTTCATAGCGTGATGAGATTTTTTTTGCTTTGTTCAAAATCAGAAGTTTGTAGACCTCAGAACTCAACCAATCAGAAACTACTCAGTTTAACTATGACCAATCAGAATCAACTATCCAGATCTGATAAGTAGCCCAGCTTGGAGGCGATCGACAAGCAATGTCGCAAATTTTCAGACTGCGGTTACTACAGCATAATGCAGTTTGTACTCAGGCTAAGTAAGTCCAAGTGTAATTTATTTATGCTGTATTAGTGAAACACGATATAGATTGAGTTGATAACTGTACTTGAGTTGATAATCTATTGTAGTATTGAATTGATAATTTATTGTAGATTTCCTTTCGTTGTAATGTGTTCACGGTAAATTTGTAGAACGCGTGCCATTTTCCGCAATTAGTAAGTGTGTTACAATAAAGTTAACTATCGTGTAACTTGCGTTTGACTGTAGCCTATATAAATTTACCTTCATGATCATGAATGTAACTCAAAAACCTCAAAAAATTGAGTAACTTTGGGGCGTCGATTCTTGATGTAGACACATGATACTTATGTGAAAGGAGTCAGTCAGCGTTCTACCGAAATTAGTTTTTGGGTTTTTTTCGGGTGCTTTGGATTCCTTCAACTGACCCCAAAAACATTCTAATTAAAATTCCTGATTAAACTTGCTAGTTAGCCTAGAAATATCGTGGGCAGTTTTCATGATACTGAACGCATATGCCCTTTCGTGTTTGGTTTGGGAAATTGATACACAAGTAGAATAATGAGTGGGATTCCCATTTCCAAAGTTGGCATTTGGGCAAATTTCCAATTGGAATCAATTTTTCTGTCCGACCTTCAATGGATTAATAGGAAAATATAAATTCTTAATGGAATTCCAATTGGGATTTTTAGAGACGCTTAACTTAATTTCGGTGAAAACGATCGAGCGCATGTCTGCTATGAGACAGATTTTATGTCACTCCCTACAACGTCGCAACAAGCATTCACTTTGTTCCAATGACGTAAAATCTTATTTCAGTGACCCCTGGGACCAAAATTATTCAAGCGTTTTGTTTTTCATGAAGAATATCTTTGTTTCGCGTCGTGTTTTCGAAATCTGTCTTAAGGCCTGATTCCACGAGGCGGAATTTTTCGACCAAAACGAAATTTCTCTTTGTCTTTTTACAATCAGTTCTGCTCGAGAGCTCATAAAACAAAGAGAAATTTCGATTCGGTCGAAAAATTTCGCCTCGTGAAAAACCGCCTTTAAGGCCTGATTCCACGTGCGCTTTTTCTCGGCGAAATGCGAAATATTTCGCCTTTTTCTTTTGAATTGTGGGCAATCAATTAGAAATAATTTATTCGAGTGGTCGCATTTCAAAAGAAACAAGCGAAATATTTCGCATTTCGCCGAGAAAAAGCGCCCGTGGAATCAGGCCTTAAAGAACAACAGCGAACCAACCAAACTTTGCGCATGGGCAACTGTAAGCTAAATATTCCTAGCAATGTAATTTGAAAGCTAGATTGCGTACATTCATTTAATTGCTAAGATACGCGCGCGCCACGAGCCCATTTCATCTCTGAATTTCGTAAGAAAATTACGATTAAGTTCAACCTCAAAAAAACTGGAAAAGCCGCTTAGCATTTTCCAATCATAGTACAATTTGTACATAAACTACAAACATCTACAAGCTAGAACGTTTGATGTCATTCATGTATGCGCCTTGATTCCACGTCAGATTGAACTTGTCTGAAATGGACTCAGCATTTCGCTCAAAATTTTCAGGAAAATCGACTTTAACTAACTCCAAATATTCAGAAAGTTTTAACAATAGCCGAATTCATATTAGAGACGGAAAACTCGTCTTAGACGGGGAAACTCGTCTTAGACGGGAAACTCGTCTAATATGAATCCGGGGGCAGACGAGTTTCCCGTCCGAACTTTCCCGTCTAACTTGCCCGTCCAAACAGACGGGAAAGTTAGACGGGAATCCCATCTAGACGGGAAACTTGCCTTAAATTCGAATTTATCCGTCCCTAAATTCATATTCAGACGGCTTTTGACAGACGAGTTTCCCGTCCCTAATATGAATTCGGCTAATGCTACGAAATGCTCTAGTTCGGTAGGGAACTGTTAAAATGCCGATGTCAAACAACAAACAAAAGCCTTTAATAGAGAGTTTTAGCTTGACGTTTACGGCAAACGTCAAACCGCTAACGAAGTTTTTGAAGTCTATTATAACAGCTTTTACACCAGTTTTGAAATATAAACAATTATTAAACTTGTGTTCTTTAGCAATGATTTATAAGAAAGCAAATGAACCACTAGTCACGTATTCGCGAAAGCAGTAAATTATGATTTGGCGTTTGAAGTTTACGTTTGGCGTATAAATTTCATGCTTGAACTGCTATGAGGGCTTGTATAGTCGTTAAAGCATGAAATTTATACGCCAAACGTGAACTTCAAACGCCAAATCATAATTTACTGCTTTCGCGATACGTGACTAGTGGTTAATTTGCTTTCTTTTAAATCATTGCCAAAGAGCACAAGTTTAATAATTGTTTATATTTCAAAACTGGTGTAAAAGCTGTCATAATAGACTTGTAAAATCAAAAACTTCGTTAGCGGTAGCTAAAACTCTCTAATGGACATTGTGCTTACCACGAGCTTCGAGCCTTCGATAGGTCGGCGACTTGAATTTGTCATCTTTCTCGTCAAATACTTGCCCTGAAAATGTAGGTATAAAGCAACTGTGAGTCATACAAATCACAGCAGGTGTATTTCTGATCATTATGAGCAGGGACGCCGGAACGATAATAGGGCAAAGGGGGGCGGACGCAAACCAAGGGCACCTTTACTGAAATTTTTTTTTTCACTGCAAAATTTTTTGGCGACCCCCCCCCCCCCCCCCCCA